ACAGATGCTCTGGGAAATGTTGGTTTGAGGGGATAAATCTTATCCCCAAAGGATAGGGATTGATGTACTGGAGTCATAGAATAAGCTGGGTTGGAAGGGACCCCAAGCACCATCCAGTCCAAGTGGTGCCTCAGTTCCTCCACTCACGCAGGCTGTTGGTGAGCCAGCTGCAGGAGGAGAAGCAGCACCACGAGGAGGAGGTGGAGGGGCTGCACCTCGACATCCGTTCACTCAAGCAGCTGAGCCAGCAGCAGGCAGCCCTCATCCAGGACCTGCAGAGGCACCAGGGCCAGGAGGGGCTGCAGCACCACGTTGTGCGCCTGAAGGAGGAGAACTGGGTAAGGGGTGGGGAGGGGGACACAGCAGGGTAGGGCTGGAGACCCCCATCTTGTCCTGTGGCAATCTGCAGCATCCCACTTGGGAGCGATGCATGGGAACTTTGGCATCTCCTGACCCCGTGAGTGGGTGCTGGGGGCTGTGAGCCTTACAAGGGCTGTCCTTGCTCAGGAGCTGTCCCAGAAGCTGGAGAGACAGGAGAGGACCACGCTGAAGCTGCAGAAGCAGCTGAGAACCTACATGAAGCAGATCCAGGAGTTTACAGGTAAGCACACACATGGGAAGGGGGATGCAGGGATGGGGGTCACCAGCCTGCTTTGGTGCTGGTGCATCATGCACGAGGGCCTGCTGCAAGTCCTGTGGCCCAGGATGTGATCTGTGCTCCCCTCCAGCAATGAAGAAAGAGCCCCCCACGCCGGGGCAGGAGCCAGCAGCATCCCTCACGGTCCCATCCTCATCAGGGCCACCCCAGGCCATGCTGGCATGGAGGCTGGAGGACGAAGGGCGCATCATCAAAGCCATCATCACAGGTGGGCTTTTGGGTAACCTGGTCCCACTGACCCAACAGAGAGCCCTAGGGATGGGTCCTGTCCCTCCCTTTCCCCCCAGCTTTGCTCTCCATTGCTGCCTTGCCCCACATCTCTGTGCCCTCCCCTACAGATTATCGCCTGCAGAGCAGCCCTGGGGCAATGCCAGAGCTTCCAGCCTACGTCCTCTTCCTCTGCATCCGGCACGCAGACCACTGCCGTGATGAGCCACGTGCCCACTCGCTGCTGGATGCAGCCATCAATGCCATCAAGAGGGTCATGAAGGTGCTGGGGGCAGGGAAATTGCTGGGTGATGTAAGGATGGCATGGGGGGGCTGCAGCCTGGACCCCAGGGCTCTGTAGGATGGGGCTGTGGTTCTGGGGGTGGCTATGGGGCCACTGCTGGAGCCTCACTGACCCGCTCCCTGCTTACTTTCTGCCCACCCCACAGAAACACAGTGATGACTTTGACGTGGTGGCACTCTGGCTTGCAAATGCCTGCCGGCTCCTGAACTGCCTGCGTCAGTACGGCCGGGATGAGGTAGGGTGCTGGGGAGGGGGCTGTTGTTTCCCCCCCTCTCCCTCCAGGATGACATCAGCAGCTTTGGTCTTTGCCTATGGGCTGGGGCTGCCCACCATGTGGTGCATGTGCTGGGCAGATCCTGCCCCTTGTTGCCCCTGGGGGGGGCTTTGGGGTGGGGTCACCTGGGAACCCATCACCCTGACCTGGCTGTACCTGCAGAGCTGCCACCAGGGGAACACAGCACACCAGAATGAGCATCGCCTGCGCAACCTGGACCCTCAGGGCCCCTGCCACAGCCTGGGAGCGTTGGCAGTGCAGCTGTACCAGCAGCTCGTCCGCACGGCTGAGAAGCGCCTCAAGCCCATGATTGGTAGGATGGAGCTTGGGGGGATGTGGGGCTGGGGGCTCATGGGGTGCCTGGTGGTGCTGGTGGTGGAGGGGAGTGGTGCTGTGGGTTGGCTTGGGTTGGGTTTCTCGTGATGGGGGGGCTTGGGGTTGAGTTGGATTCATCTTAAGGAGGATGTGGGGTGGGCTGGGTTCCCCGTGGGGTGAGTTGGGTTCCTCTTAAGAGGACTGTAGGTTGGCTTTGGTTGAGTTGGGTTCCTCATGGTGAGGGGGTGTGGGTTGGGTTGGACTCCTCTTAAGTGGGCCGTGGGTTGGGTTCTGTTTCCCAGGGGGAGGCTGTGGGTTGGGTTGGGCTCTCCACAGCCCCTGAAGCCAACACAGAGGAGAGCTGTGAGTTGGGTTAGGTTTCCCATGCCCGGGAGCTCTGGGTTGGGTTCCCCACAGAGGGCTCTAGGGCTGGATCTCGCAGTATCCCAGCTGAGATGATGCATTTGAGGAGCTGAAGGGGGAGGGGAGATTTGTACCCCCTCCAAGGACCTCCCTCGCTCACCTGCCCCACTTCTCACATCCAAGGAGCACAGCCACCCCATCAGCTCCTCCATCCCCAACTGGAGGTGACACGAAGCCAACGAGCCACGCTCTGATCGTTCTTTTCTGCCCTCCAGTCGCTGCAATGCTGGAGAGTGAGACCATCCAAGGCCTCTCCTCCTCCTGCCCTCCCACCCACCGCCGTTCCTCGGCCCCCCCAGCCCACACGCTGCCCGAGCTCCTGCAGCAGCTGGGCTCCTTCCACCACACACTGGAGCATTATGGGCTGTCCCCAGCCGTGGGGCATCAGCTGCTGCGCCAGCTCCTCTTCCTCATCAGCGGCACCACCCTCAACTTCCTGCTGCTGAGGAAGGACGCCTGCTCCTGGAGCCGTGGCATCCAGCTCAGGTTGGCCTTATGTGGGGTGTATATAAGGGAGGGGGGAGGGTTGAGGGAGGGGGGCTGCCTCCTGCTGACCCCCCCTGCCCCATAGGTACAACGTCAGCCAGGTGGAGCAGTGGCTGCGGGCGCAGGGGCTGCAGCAGAGCGGTGCCCGTGAGATGCTGGAGCCTCTGATCCAGGCTGCGCAGCTGCTGCAGGTGAAGAAGGCGACAGAGGAGGACGCGGCGGCCATCTGCAGCCTGTGCACCGTGCTGACCCCACAGCAGGTACGGGGCCGGGGGGGTTGGATGCAGTGACCTGGGAGCCTTGGGACCCCAGCGCTGGGGCAGAGATGATCCCTCAGCTCCATCCTCTGCTGTCTGCCCCAGGTGGTGAAGATCCTACGGGCGTACACCCCGACTGCTGGGCTGGAGGAGCGTGTGAGCCCTGCCTTCATCAGCAGCGTGGAGGTAGGGAAGGAGGCTGTGCTGGTTGGGGAGGGGGCCTTGGTTCTTGGCCGCTGCCCCGTTGATGGCCGTATCCCCACAGAACCGACTGCAGGAGCAGCAGGCAGAGGGACCAAGCCAGCTCCTGGTGGACACCAGCCACTTCTTCCCTGTGCAACTGCCCTTCATCCCCTCCCCGCTGCACCTGGATGAGCTCTGCATCCCCAACACCGTGGACCTGGCCTTCCTCGTGCGCCTCTGAGCTGCAGGAGGACCTGGCGGGGTTGGGGTGCAGCTTTGTGTGAGATGTTTGTTGGTTGGAACCCGGCCCTACTGCCTTTGGCACGGCCGTGATGATCTTCACCCCTTTCTTTTTAATGCTTTGATGTTAATAAAAGTCTTTGCAGATAAACTGAGTGCCTGAGGCTGCCTGCTTGGGTGGGGAGCGGGTGTGAGGTGGCGATGTCCTTGTGGTGGGGGATTGAGGTCTCCTTGCCCACCTGTGGGGCTTTGGGGGCACATTACCTGATCCGATTTAACTCCTTGGTGGAAGCTTTTGCCCAAGGAGTTGGACTCAGGGATGCTGATGGGTCCCTTCCACATGGGGGCAGAGGGTTGGGTGGATGGATGGCTCTTGAGAACTGCAGGCACCATCCATGGACCTTCAATGCTGACCTTAAATGTGGGATGTCCTTCCCACACCGTAGGCCGTTTTTTTTTCCTTTTTTTTTTTTTTTTTTTTTTTTAATGTCAGTTATAATAAAATATTTTTACAGAGCCCAAAAAAGTCAAAATAGTGCAAAACATCTCACTGTCATGCATCCGGGGGAGCCCCTGCTATTGGGGGGGGG